GCCCCTCTGTGTTTTCCTCCTACCCACTGTCTACTTGGATTGTGATCTCTTTGGGGCAAGGACTGTCCCTCTCTCTCTCTGTGCAGTGCCCAGCACAATGGCGGTGCTGATTTCAGTCAGGTTCTCTCCCATGCGCAGCACGATGGGGCCCTGATCTCCATCAGTGTCTGTGCAACGCAAGGCACAGTTTATAGACTCACAGACTTTAAGGCCAGAAGGGACCATCATGATCATCTAGTCTGAGCTCCTGCCCATCGCAGGCCAGAGAACCTTCCTCACCCACTCCTGTAACAGACCCCCTAACCTCTGGCTGAGTAATGAAGTCCTCAAATCATGATTTCAGGGGATAAAAGTGTGTGTCTGTGTATCTCTGTGTGTTGCACCTACCCATCCCCTACTGCTGCCCCCTTCCCTGCTCCAGGGACCTTCCCCCTCCAAACTGCCCTCCCCCGGCCTCCCTGCGGCCGTGTGAGGGGGGGGAACCGTCACTGTCTGTGTGTGTTGGACAGTCACAAAATCCCTTCACACTGCCCCTCCCCCTCCCCTCATTTCATACCCAGAGAAATTCCTCCCCCCCCCCCCATCTGGGGGGTTTGTCTCTCCTGTTACCAAATGCGCAGTGTGTGACCCGTTTTCCCCACAACTCTCATAGATGGATATAAAATATCCTAAAATCTCCCCCTCCCTCCCTGCCACTTTCTCTCTTGTTCTCTAGTTCCACTTGAATGGGCCCTGAGTTTTGGGCCCTGTCTCTCTAATGATAAAACACAAACAACATCTCAGATTTACCCCTTTTCTCCGCTTCTTCAGCGTGACTAGGCATTTATTACAAATCTTGCCTCTTTTCTCTCTGTTCATTTATCAAATACTGATGGGAAATACACTCAGATTTTACCTCTGATCAACAACTGACGTATGCTGTGGAGTGTAGGGGTTTTTTTGGGGTGGGGGGGAGGGTGGTTTTTTTTCCTGATTTGCCTGACGTTGTGGTGGGAATTTTTCTGTATGTTGTGTTTTTATACCTATATATTGCATAGCATCTTAGACATGTAGGGCTGCTCAGGATCTCAAGCTGTCATCAAGTCCATCTCTCTCTGCGGAGGCAGGACCCAGTATACGTAGATTATCTCTGACAGAGGTTTGTCCTACCTGTTCTTAAAAACTCCCAGGGAAGCGACTCCAGCAACTAGGGATTTATCCAATGAAGTAGGTGACTTTGAGCCAGACACTGAAAGATCCTTGTGCCTTAGTTTCCACATTGGCCACAGGAGGTTACTAGTACTCCCTTCCCAGACTCCTGGGGGCAGCCAGGGATAATTTAGTGGTTTATGGGAATTAGAAGAGGAAAATTCATTAAGAACGATGATATTTGTGTGTTTATTATTAAATCCCCAGACACCCACCAATCCCCGTCCTCCTTCCGATGAGCTATAAATAGCTATGATCCTATAGTGAGTTTCTTCCTCTCCCCACTTTCTATAGCAGCGCTTTTAAGAACAGGCCAGGGAAACATGCAAATACTTTCAACCAAATTCCAGAAGCCGCTGAGCATGCACAAGTTAAAACGAAAACAAGGTTCCATCTCTCCAAGGACCTGGCCCCTAGTTCAAAATTATAGACCCTCCGCAGAAATCTGAAACGGCCACTTCATAACTGATAGAATGTTATTGATCTATTGACTTCTGGGAATTACCAATAAAAGAAAGAACCCAGTGAAGTTGATACCATGAGGGAAAGATCTCGTGTGTCTTTACAAATTGGTATAATCTAATCTGGAACTTTATACAGTAAAATGCCTTATTCATAGCCCTATGGCGATTGCCTGTATCCTGTAGGGACCTTAATTCTACCCAGTCCCAACTGCTTCTGTCCCCCACCATACCCCAAAACTTTTTCACCCCTGGAACTATCAGCTGTCAGTCTTCCCTTGCTGCTACCCCTTCCTGACTGGCAGAGAAGCTCTAGCCCCTTCTCTTTGCCTCTGAAAGTTGCCTTTCCCAGGGCTTTGCTGCCTGTGTGAATGGCAGATAGGGATGGGGAGCCATCACTTTCTGTGTATTTATTGAACATTCATCTAGTCCCTGACACCTTCATTTATGCAGCGGTACATTTATTGTAATTATTTATTTTTTAAAAAAGCAAAAACGTCAAAGATCAGGTCTGCAGCCTACAAAACCCTCCATGTCCTTAAACAGCAGTATGTTGGGCCCTGCCAGAGTATCAAGTTCAGCAAAATTCAAACCTCCAAAAACTAGGAAATAGAGAGCTAATGTGCCCACCAATGCAACCTTAACTCTGCCCCTGGAGGTGGCAACAGCCACTGGGCATTATCTGGCAGCACTCCAGCTGCACTCACTGTGTTAGGTCTAGCTTTACTGAAAGGTAGAGGCATTAGTTGGAGCAACTTGGTGGAGGTGTGATTGTGATATAAGAAGATCTGGGTCTGAGTCTCCATGTGTGCGATGAAAGGAAAGAGGTGCATGTGTACTTTGAGCTTCCAGTCTGTATCTGCACTGAGCTGTGCATGTTGTCAGGTGGAAACGGGACTGTTTGCCATGAGAATGGTCAGCAGTGAGATGGGATGTGAGAGCAGTCTGTGTGCTTAACGATGGGTAAGTGAATGTAGAACGTTAGCTGGAACTTCTGTGAGTAAGGATGAAAGAGTTGTAAAAAGGAGTGAAGAGGTGTTCAGTTGACAAGTGTGCGGCTGTTTCTGGGGAGCAGGCCCAATATCTGAGTTTAGAACAGGTGTCAGTAGCTCCTGTACAGTGCAGCTCACCTAAAACCAAATTCCGTCTTAGCAAAGATAAAGTGCTTTATTGTGTGCCCTGGTTGACATTTTCCCTAGTACTTTAGTGATAGGCACGATCTCAAATAGCTGGGTGCACATAGGTGCGTTGTAGGAGTAAAGAAAGGGTCATTGCTCACATGGGTCAGAATTAGGATTACATTGGTGTGTACCTTATCTCTGCATTTCCTGACTATTACAAGTTTGAGTTTTGCTGACCCCTCTTCTGGAGGGGCACCAGACAGCTCCGGGCAACCTTAAATCCTGCGTTCATAAAGTTTTTTGTAAGTGAATTTCCTCGCTTTTTGCACAGAGCGATCTTGGCAGGAGGAGTTAGCAGCCCTATAGGCAGTTGTGGGTCTCACACAAGTTTGCAATCGGAGGCACAGAGAAGTGCAATGAGTTACCCAAGGTCGCCCAACAGGTCTGTGGCAAAGCCAGGTATAGTCCTAGCCCAGTGCTCTCTCCATGTAGGTGCTGGGTGATTGTGAAGTGTTGCTCTCCTCTCCTGTACTTTTTTCATTACGGTGGAATGGGAATAATGGTCATGCTTTCAAATGTTTCTCTCCTTCCCCACCTCCTCCTTCTGCCACCATTTCCATCTCGGCCTCCCCTTCTTTCAAGTGTTTGTCATGAGCAGTTGGTAACAGAGCCAGCGAGAGAAATCTCTGACCTGGTCTGTGCCCCAGCTGGGCCTTCTGCTCCTGGTCTAGCCATGTCCTAGCGCTGCCCCTCCTCCAAACAGGCCCCCTCCCCGATACACTGTGGCCTGCCCCTCCACCCCATACATGTGTAACATGTACCTTTAAACTATTCATATTTTGGATTTCAGATCATTAAATTTGTTACCTTCAGCTCCCCCCTATAAGTTTCAGTTGTTTGGTGGTGCTCTGATAGTTTTCCATTGACAGTTTAGGAGGGAGCAAGGCTGGTCACTTGAGCGTTGCGTTACCTTGCGTGCTGACTAGTGAGAAGTGACGACTCCCTCTTGGGTGGATGGGCCGATCCCGGGGCCGGTTACCTCTCGGTGATTGATTTTCCATTCCAAGTTCATAAAGTAGATTTTCAATATAAATGCTTTGTTCCTTACATATGACCCGTACGTTGATCTCTCGGTCTTTGAGTCTTGACCAGCTATGAGCTTTCTGTAGACAGCTCACATGACCATCCTCCAAGAGATGTGTTTGGTGTGATGGGTTTGTCAGGTCTCAGATGAGAGCTGCTGGCAAAGACCAAGTGACCCTTTGCCAAGGGATCTCTGTGTCACTGTCTGACCCCCGTAGGCCAGGGAGAGGACGACTTTCTTCCAATGGCCTTCAGGACAGGCTGAATTCACTGCAGTGCCCCATATCCCCTCTCCATTTCCCTTCTCGGTGTGCTGGGACGCTGCTCCACAGGCCATCCCTTATCTACTCCATGTGCCAGGCTGCTGGCAGCCCCCACTGAGAGGCCATCCAGCCCATCAACCTGGTGCCCAACTGCTGGGCCTCCACTCAGTGAAGGCCAGAGCCCCGCATGCTGCCAACCCTCTGTTTGGGGCTGGAGATGCTCCACAGACTGTTCCCAGGGTTGCCCCAGTCTGAATAGAGTAGGTCTCTCCTGTTAACTCCTGCTCCAGTCCTGGCATGGTTTGCAGGTGTGGAGGAGCTGGGCCAGTCCAGACTAAAGAAGTTTAACCCCTTCTGTGCCAGCGTGGGGTTTATATAGCCCTTCACAGGCACCCAGGCCCAGGGAATGGCCCCCTATCAGCCCTATGCCTGATGTGGTGGAGTGACCCACTGGCAGCATTGCCTTTGAGGGTGCTGCTCCCTCCTGCTCCCACTCCCTCCCCTCCCCCTTTACTCCCACCACAGTGCCTGTTACCTTGACTTCCTGAGGGGTGACCCCTAGAAGGTGTGTTTTGTTATATCTTTCCCACCCCCACGGATCCGTTGTGCACCCTCTGTCACTCATCTCTGTCTCAGGAGACAAGGCGGGTAATGGGACGCAGGTGATGCTATGCTGGAGATCCATCATCACTACAGGAGTGGCAGTCTTGACCCTCCTTGAAGGTTGCCGGGAAGCTGACGTGCACTGGCGGAGAACTGGGGCTTGACTGAGTCCATGGACCATTTGGCCCACACTGTGTCACTGTAAAGCCTGCTCTGCATTGCTGCCAATTGCTGCTGGTTGCGTTGTGCCCGTAAGTCTCTGTAACGCTGCCTTCAGTGACTCGAAGGCATAAGCACCAGCCTCAGGCAGACTGGTAAGAAGCAGGGAACAAACCCCAAATTGGTTGTGAGGTCTATATGTAGATTTCACCAACCAAGTATCCAGTGTAAACGCTTCAGGCACTGTAACAGCAGTAACATGGAATCACAGACAGTTCCCTTGGGTCATCCCATATATCTCACCACACAGGTGAGCTCACCTTTGTGACAGATGGTCCCTTACTCCAGGGGTTCTCAACCTTTTTCTTTCTGAGGCCCCCCCAACATACTATAAAAACTCCATGGCCCATGTGGGCCACAATACTGGCTTTCTGCATCCAAAAGCCAGGGCTGGTGTTAGGGGGTAGCAAGCAGGGCAACTGCCTGGGGCCCCATGCCACAGGGGCACCCACAAAGCTACATTGCTTAGGCTTTGGCTTTAGTTCCTGGTAGTGGGGCTCAGGGGCCCTGGACTTCAGCCCCATCCGCTGGGACTTCAGTTTTCTGCCCTGGGTCTTGGCAAGTCTAATGCTGGCCTTGCTTGGCAGCCCCCATGATAACTGCTCGTGGCCCCCCAGGGGGCTCCAGACCCCTGGTTGAGAACCACTGCCTTACACCACGAATCACAGCAATGTTCAGGTTACTGCCAGTCCCAAAGGATCAGTCACTTCATTAGGTCAATTGAATCTTAGATCTCCCACAAAGACAACACTTGGAGCCAGTCCTGTCAAAAACCTCTATTGAGATTTATTTCAAAGAAAATGAGAATTGTTTACAAAGTTAAAGCAGATGGAGACGAGTTACAATCTTAAATTTCAAAAGGCAATGGAAGCTTAATAAGCAAGCTCTACATATTCTTTAGGACTAACCCAGGATAAGGAGCTGAGAATCTCTTCCTTATGCCTAGAAACTTTGCCCCCGCCCAGAGTGCAAGCAGCATACAGATAATCGGTTCCTTCAGCATGGGGTTTTTTATCCTCTTTCTGCCATGTGCTGTGAGCTGCAAACTCAGCTAATGAGAGGTCAAGAGCACAACAACAGACTTGTGTCTTCTTTAACGTCCCATAATGGTCTGGTATTGATGGATCTTTCCTGCCAGGCAGGGTGTAATGCATTCTGTTGCCAATCAGCACTTCCCCTAGGTAAAGTCTCTCCCCTGTCTGGTGATGTAAATAGCCACAGAGGCTCACAATGCAACTAGTCAGATATGAACCCAGGCAGCAACTCAATAAAGCATTCAATAAAGTCTAAACACATTCTTGTCATTCTAATACCTGTTTTAACAATACTAACACTGGGGAGTTAGACTGATTCCAGCTATGCGTTTGTCCGTGTTCAGTTAAGACATGGGGGCTTTTACAAGAGCGAACACCTCATCTGCCAGTGTCACAGGCAGGATGGGCAGGGATGGTGTCTCTGGCCTCAGTTTGCCAGAAGCTGGGAAAGGGTGACAGGGGATGGATCACTTGATGATTCCCTGTTCTCTTCATTCCCTCTGAAGCACCTGGCATTGGCCATTCAGCTAGATGGACCATTGGTCTGACGCAGTGGGCCATTCTTATGTTCACAGTCTCTATCAGGAGTATCTACTCATCTGGACTCATTGGGGAGCCACAGAAAGAAACAAGGTGTGCTGAGACAAGGAGGCCCAGTCTCAGAGCCCCCAGGGTCATGCTTGCCAAAAGCTAAAACTAGGCCCAGCCCGTGAAAGGGGGCACTCCCAGGAGAGACTGTATAAAGGCTGGAGCATCAAGCAACTTAATAAACCTGAGACAGCTGCCTTGGGACAATGACAGGGAGAATCCCCCAAAGTGACTCCTTTGATTCTGCTCTTCTCTGGCCTTTGGTTCATAGAATCATAGAACTGGAAGAGACCTCAAGTGGTCATCTAGTCCTGTCCCCTGCACGGAAGGCAGGACTAAGTATTATCTAGGTAATCCCTGAGAGGTGTTTGTTCAGCCTGCTCTTAAAAATCCCCAATGATGGAGATTCCACAACCTCCCTAGGCAATTTATTCCATTGCTTAACCGCCCTAACAGGAAGTTTTTTCTAATGTCAGACCTAAACCTCCCTTTCTGCAATTTAAGCCCATTGCTTTTTGTGCTATCCTCAGGGGTTAAGAAGAACAATTTTTCTCCCTCCTCCTTCTAACAACCTTTTATGTACTTGAAAACTGTGATCATGTCCCTTCTCAGTCTTCTCTTCTCCAGACTAAACAAACACAATTTTTTCAATCTTCCCTCATAGGTCATGTTTTCTAGACCTTTCATCATTTTTGTTGCTCTTCTCTGGACTCTCTCCAATTTGTCCACATCTTTCCTGAAATATGGCGCCCAGAACTGGACACATTTCTCCAGTTGAGGCCTAATCAACGTGGAGCAGAGCAGAAGAATTACTTCTCGTGTCTTGCTTACAATACTCCTGCTAATACATCCCAGAATGATGTTTGCTTTTTTTGCAACAGTGTCACTCTGTTGACTCGTATTTAGCTTGTGATCCACTGTGACCCCCCAGATCCCTTTCCACAGTACTCCTTCCTAGGCAGTCATTTCCCATTTTGTATGTGTACAACTGCTTGTTCCTTCCTAAGTGAAGTACTTTGGATTTGTCCTTATTGAATTTCATCCTATATACTTCAGACCATTTCTCCAGTTTGTCCAGATCATTTTGAATTTTAATCTTATTCTCCAAAGCACTTGCAATTCCTCCCAGCTTGGTATCCTTCGCAAACTTGATAAGTGTAACAGAGAGACTCTGCTACTGGGAGGGTTTCACCATGTGTCAGAGGGTTACACCCTGGTGGGAGGAGGCTAGGCATGTACTGGAATAAGGTCACTCTGTGCTTCGCAGTGTGGCAGAACCTAGAATGTCCATTAGCAGGGAAAAATCTGGGGGGAATCGGCTTGTGGAGTGGACAAAATCCCCATCTGAATTCTCTCACATTGCCCTTCTCTCCCTGGCAGGCTACAGAATAACGTCCACATTTCGCTCCAGATCATTCCCTCCTCCCAGGGGGAAGGAAATGGCTGCAATGGAGCTGGCTCAGGTAAGGGATTATCAGGGAGCTGGTGATGGATGGGTTCTGCTTGGAGGGAGAGGAGCAGTAAAGGCATAGGAGGGTGGGAGCTGCTAGAGGTGGTGGGAGATAGGAACTATCTAGGGTGGAGAAAGGGAGGGGACAGGATGTGACAAACTGGCTGAGACTTGTGTAATCTAGGGTGTAATGGGTTGTCACCCCGGTGTGCAGTCTGGGGGGCTTCTGGGAACCGCTGTGCCCTCTAACTCTGAAGCTGGGCTGGCCCTTCTCACACTGCTTTGCTGGAGATTCAGCCAGCCTCTCTAGGCCTTTTTATCACCCAACACGACAACAGGTGGCGCCATACACTCAGTTAAGCTACCTGAGTGCTTTACCTAAGCCACTCAAGGACAGATAGAAAACAACAACCAATTTCCCAGCGATAAGTGATAGCAAATAGATCAAAGTAGATTACTTGGCAAATAACCAGAAACTCAAACTGAGCCTCGCATACTAGATAAGAGGTGGGTAAACTATGGCCTGCAGGCCACATCCAGCCCGCAGGACCCTCCTGCCCGGCCCCTGAGCTCCTGGTCCAGGGGGCTAGCCCCTGGTCCCTCCCCTCCAGTTGGATAGAGGGCAGGGGAGTTCGGGGTGGTGGTCAGGAGGTGGGGGTGTGGATAGGGGTCAGGGAGGTCAGCAGGGCCACTCAGAGGGCGGAGCAAGTGGGGCATTTTGCCCCAGGCCCTGCAGGACCCCCCACAAGACTATAGTATTCTATAGTATTGCAACTTATTTTTATGGAAGGGGCCCTCGAAATTGCTTTGCCCCAGGCCTCCTGAATCCTAACCGGCCCTCCATACAATTTCCAAAACCCGATGCAACGCTGAGGCCAAAACTTTTTCCCGCCCCTTTACTAGCTGCATAGAATTTGAATTAGCAGTTTCTCACCCTGACTGATGATTGAAGCAGTCCACCAGCACATCCCCCAGTTCGGTTTTTGTTCCTCAGGTGCTTCCAGGAGTTCTCTTGTCTGGGGAATGAGGCCAAGAGATGATGTCACATCCCACCTTATGTAGCTTTTCCATATGGCGGGAACCCTTTGTTCCAAACTCAGTTCCCAGTCCCCTTTGTGGAAAAATACAGGTACCAAAATGGAGTTCATTGTCATGTGGTCTGGTCACATGCCCTAGCATGCCCTGCTGTAGCCATGACTCATAGGCTGGCTGGAACATTCACAGGAAGGCTAAGCTCTTCCACGGTCCATTGTCTTTGTTGATGAGCCATCAGCATTGTCTGGCTTCTTCACTGTTGTACCTGAAAGGCTCGTTGTGGGTGTTACCCAGAGTAAGCACATTTGAAATACAGATACATAGTCAATATCCATAATTTCAGATACAAACATGATCCATGCACACAAAAAGGATAATCCTATTCAGGAAATTATAACTTTTCCAGTGACCCTGCACATGACGTATCTTGCACAAAATACCTCATAATTATGTCCTAATCATATTATAATCCTACCACTATGGTGAATATGGGGTGCAGTGTGAGATAGGTCTTAATTTCAAGGCACAGGAGTTGGGAATGGAACTTCCCCTCTTTGTGGAACAGGAAATAACCCCCCAGCCAGGGCTGGGAAAACTTCCCAGACTCCCAGTGCTGGAGCCTGAATCTACTGACACTTTATTAGTTACCACCACCCCCAATCTTTGTGGCAACTGCAAACTTTATCAGTGATGATTTTATATTCTCTTCTAGGTCATTGATAAGAATGTGAAATATCACAGGGCCAAGAACCAATCCTTGCGGGAACCTGATAGAAAGAAATCCACTCGACCATGGTTCCCCATTTACAATCCCAGTTTTTAATCTATTTAATGTATGCCATGTGTGTTTTGTATCTTTCTAGTTTTCTAGTCAAAATATTGTGCTGAACCAAGTCATATGCCTTACAGAAGTCTAGGTATATTACATCAGTACTATTAGCTGTGACCAAACTTGGATCTCATCCAATAAGGATATCCAGTTAGTTTGATAGGATCTACTGTGTCTAAACCTTTGTTAATGGGTACTAATTATATTAGCCCCCCTTTAATTCTTTATTAATGAAATCCAGTATCGGCTGCTCCATTCTCTTGCCCAGTATCAATTTTAGACTAACACCCTTGTAATGAGATAGGTCATCTCTTTTACACTTTTTAGATATTAGCACAGCATTAGCTTTATTCCTGTCTTATGGAATTTCCCCAGTGTTCCAAGTCCTAATTAAAATCAACATTAACCGTCCATCACGCTCCTCCACCAGCTCTTTCAAAACTCTTGTTATCTGGACCCACTGATTTAAACACATCTAACTTTAATAGATGGTGTTTAACGTCCTTGTGAGTTACTGTTGGAATGGAAAGACTGTCGGCGTCAACATCTTATGATAAGAGTTAGATCATCTGTTTTTTTCTCCAAATCCAGGAGAGAGATATTTATTGAACACTTTTACCTCTTCTTCATTATTTTTGATAATTCTACCATTTCCATCTAATAATTTACCACTACCATTGTTAGGTTTAATGTTGTACTTAATATACTTTTAAAAATTTCCTTCTTATTTTCATTGATTGATCATTGATTTCTGATAGCTTCCCTTACCAATTTTCTACAATTCTGACCTTCTAACTTATATTCTTTACTATTGACTTCCCCTTTCTTCCATATATTTTATTTGGAGAGTGTTGGGATTCCTAGTAGGGAGCCACCAGCAGGGTCCAGAGACAGCCCCATCTCCTATATCAAGCTCTGGCTAGTAGGTATGTGATAAATGTGAAAACCCTGCCTCCGTCTGTCAGCTGGGAAACACAAAGGTTCTCTGTTCCTACCCTCTGATGCCTCCTGGCTGCTCTAGGCAAGGTGGGGTGGGACTCTGTTAACATGTGCCTCCCAGAGCTTCCATTTACCTGGTGCTGCTGTTCCGTGAATAGTGGGGTTGTGACTGGGGCAGCAGGTACTGAGTGTTGAACTCTTGCTCTTTCAGAGGCCGGTGACTTTCGAGGAGGTGGCTGTGTATTTCACCAGGGAAGAGTGGGCTCTGCTGCATCCCACTCAGAGAGCCTTCTACAGGGATGTCATGCAGGAGAACTATGAGAATGTGATCTCGCTGGGTAAGGATTCCCGTCCCCTCAGTTATTAGATGCTGTGGGGTCTCTAAAGAACCTGAGTAGTAATAACTATATACCTTTACTCATGATACAAGTTTTGACAAGTTTCCTAGCCCCCCCCCCTTTTTTTTGCCTTATCTCCCACCCACTAGTATAATTTTTGGACATGTGCCTTTTTGGTGTTATCTGTCATTTTAAAATTGCATTTAATGTATCGTTATTGGATACATTAATATCTACATTAATAACTGTAACTTTCATGCCTTTTCCACATTTTAAGAGGAAACTACGCTGCCTGTAGAATTCTAAATTAAGTAAATAGTGTAGGACTCATGCATGGCTTGTGTGACAATCAGATGAGCTCCTCTTTTGATAGGAGAGCGTATAATGTTGCCATTCAGGACCCCATAGGTGAAGGAAGAAGAGAGCTGTGGGAGGGGAGGAGAATGGGGGGGGGGTAGATAATTCTGGGGTGCCAGGACATGGGGAGGGTGTGTATAGGATTAGAGCTAAGAAGCAGCAGGGAGGGATGAGGTAGTGAGAGACGAGAAGGGAACACTAAGAAGTTCCCAAGGTGCCGGGAGCTGGTGCTGGCTGAGAGTAATGGGATGAAGGGGAGGGGAGTGTGTAGGAAGGGCACCCAGGAAGTGGGCTGGGTGCGTCAGTGGGAGGGAGGAGAGGTTTGGGGATGTAGAGCTTGGGGGATCCCAGACCTTTAACCCCGAATCCCTATCCAAGCCTTGTTGCTTTAGAGCCTACACTCCAGTTTTATTTCTGTGCAGTTTCAGTTAATTGTACGTTTCCCCCCCAAATATTATTATTTTAACTCTTGACCTCCCTCTTCCACTCATTACCCCTCTCCCCATATAACCTCCCCATCTCTATGCACAGCGACCCTGGCCAACCATCCTGAGTCCTTGTTGCATTCCTCCCTCCCATACCAGGGCTCCTACCCAGGCACAAATGGGGACTTGGTTGATGATGTCACAGGGTGGTAGTGTAGCCTGTACACTTTTTACACCTATAAGATTACGTGTTGGGGTACAACTTGTCCTTGTAGATGGCTACTCAAAGTTAATGGAGGAGATGAAATTTGGTGAAACACACAGAACTTGATTTAATACAGACAGTTATAATTGAAATCATAGGCAAAAATCAATACACATAACGATTAGATTAAAGTAAGTACAGTAAAGAGGGTCTTGCACTCTGCGTACTTACAAATTATGGACACCATTGGAAACAAAGATGGAGGGGCAAGGGCGACCATCTGAAGGGAGGCCCTGCTTCAGTTTACACTGTCTCGGGGACCCGACAAAATGAAAAAATGGTAACTAGGAGAGGTATTTTATCCGCTTTCTTAGGGTAATAGGATGGCTATATACCATATCTGCTCCTTTACTCTGATTACAATAATTTCAATAGGTGCCCCAAAACATATGTGGCCTTTCGGAAGTCCATAATTATGCATCAAGCATTAATACTCATGATTTACATCACTTATTTATTAATAATACATATGAATCCGGTCCAACTGCTGAGATACTTCATAGCAACCTAATTGCTGAAGCCCGCCCCAAACTTCCTGCTTTCAGAATCCTGTAGTGTACTGTACCTGTTTGCGGTTCCTCGTTAGTCTCTCAAAATGGGGGTGCAAAATATTTTACCTGGGATTCTCTCCTTAGGCCTATTCAGGTAAATTCCAGACTTCAGCATAACTACTCCCACAGAGCCTCAACCTAATAGAAGACCCTTTATTGTAGCAAGCTTAGGCTATGTCTACACTACTGCGGTAAGTCAACCTATGTACCTTAGGTAGAGTTACCGCAGGGTCTACTTACCTTACTCTTCTCGTCAGGGTAGAGTACAGGGTTCGACTGCAGAGACATCTGTAGTCGATTTGGTGGGTTTTTACTAGACCGCTACATCGACCACCAGTGGATCGATCTCAGAGCTTTAATCCCAGCTGTAGTGTAGTCCCTGCCCTTAATAACCCATTTATCTATGTTCACCTCCTTGCCCCTCCACGCATGTTCCAAGCTAATAAGTAATACTTTGAGAATGACATTTTACCACTAGCAAGTATAAAATTGCCCACAAGACATGAGACTAGGTCATAGATCATAAAATCAGGTCGGGGTCAGCAGGAGTGAGAGTTTGGAGAGAGTCTTGTCCCCTCTCTCCCCATCTGCAGCAGCCACAAGCTGTTTTCCCTCCACGGTCCTTGGATCTTTGAGCCTGTCCCTCCTAGGTTTCATGGCCCAGTTCTTGTTTCTTACATTCTCCTTTTCTGGAAGTATTAGAGGCTGTTGCTCCTGAATTTTAGGGTTTAATTTCCCAGCCTTCTCCACACACTGGGGGAGTTTAATTCTCCCTCCGATTACACCTGAGTCACTAGATTTCTTAATGCCCCAAAAAGTGCTTTTGCGATGTCACAGTTCTGGGATAGCTAAGCCTTTGACCTGCCTCCGCAGTGTGCTCAAGGAATGCGCTCTCCTGTATCATGCCTCTAGCCAGCCCCTCTCTATGGGTGGGGACCCACATGCCTCTCCTTCTTGACTAAGGTGTGAGGATTGCAGCTTGTCCTCCACTGTGTTCACTGGAATAAGCTCCAGCTCCTGTGCTTTGCTCTCTCTCCAAGGGATGTGAGCTGTGTGTGTGTGTGTGTGTGTGTGTGTGAGATAGAGGTGGGAATTTTGGTGATACTTGTATGATGCCAATACACACCTCTGTTTCCCTCCGTGATTGGTATTGCTATGATTATAAAGAGCAAGAGACATGAGGTGTTTTGTCACGTAGCTGTCATGGGGTGATATGAATGGGTTATTAAGGACTGGCTGGGACCAGCCTACATCAATGGAATACCTGACAGAGACAACGGAATAATTATTACCTGTCCATGGGAGGATATCTGCTTGGCTGAGTGAAGCATACATGGACTCGTTATGTTTTTGGGAGTAGGAAGAACTGGGCTCGCAGACACAGGAAGCTCTGCCGGAGCGAAGACAAATGGACAGTCACAGTGAAAGGAAACCAAAGCGTTTTCTACAGCAGCAGGGTTCAAGGGCATTGGCCAGTACGGACTATATTGTCTTCTTTGCTTCTCTGTCATTGTACTGAAATTTAACTAACGAATTCTAACATATTGTAATATAATTTTCTAACCAATATATCCCAGTACCCTAATTAACTTACACCTAGCAAAATTAATTATACAGCAGACAGAAACAATTAGAGAACCAGACTGATTGACAATGTAAAAGCGGTGGCCATAAAGATAAAACAATACGGAAATGAGGGTTTCACAACCATTGATAAGTGATTTCTTGCCAGACAGGATGCTATCAAACTAAGTTTTCTTTAAGCATCTTAAGGTCTGTTTCTTTATCTGGTGGTGATGGGCGCTATCGGGACAGGATTGTCTTCCTAACAGCCCTTAGTTCAGTGTGACTGGTTTGGGAGGTGAGGACGTGACCGGTCGCTTCCCAGCTTATGGCTGCCCCTGCTGCTTAGCCAAAGGCCTTAGCCTGAGAACAAGGCCTCAGACTATGCTAGTGAGAGAAGGCCCAGACACAGGCGGACTGTGATTTTGATTCTTTGTTTTTATACCCCTGTAACTAGCTAAGTGATAAAAATACACTTAAGTTCTTAAAGTACAGGCTTTACAGGCAGGCCTGAATATCTCTATTCTAACAGTGGGTTCTACCCCTTCCCCCATTCTGTGTCCCTCTTGTCTATTTAGATTGTAAATTCTTCAGGGCATGGGCCATCTACTATTCTGGGTTTGTACTTTGCCTAGCACAATGGGTACCCACTGTTAGTTGGTCCTGAGGCACTAAGGTAATGCATATGATTTATTATAATAATAACTCTCCTGCCACTTTCAGCTAAGGAAGCTGGCCTTGGGATGTTACTGCTTAAAAATCAGCTGGGGTTAAAACCATGGAATATTCTTTGTGCCAAGTATTCCACAAATTCCACTGACCTCCCTTGTTTTCTTTGCCTGTAGTAGGGTTTCCAGTTTCCAAACCTGATGTGATCTCGCAGCTGGAACGAGGGGAAGAGCCATGGATCCTGGACCTCCAGGGCTCTGAGGAAGAAATGCTCCTGAGAGGTGAGAAATTTGTTAAACCACTCAACAACTGTTTGGGAATGCAAGAAACATTTGGGATGCCCTACAAAGACTCTGTGAGCTCTCCAAGTTTAGGATTGTTCCCTGCAGATGTGGAATCATTATGGCAGATGTCACTCATGGCTTCCTTCCTATTCTGACTGACAACTGGCAGCAGATCCCTCCCCAATCTCACTTTTCCCTGAGTTTTCTGGTGAGATGCGGACCAAAACTGATCCCTTCCTCTCTCCTCTTTGGAAGGCTTTGGGGAAAATCAGCTCCTGATAGGTTTGATCTCTCCCACACATATTTTCGGTTGTTCATCCCTTTTTCCATTCCTCTCTCTGAGATTTCCTTTCTTTCTGGTGCAGGGAGTGACCGATGTCTGGATTCTTTTTGTCTCCCATTAAGGTGATGGGATGGTGAGTGAGAATGAGGAGAAACCCCAGCAGGAAGATGCTGAGCAAGTAGAACCACATGGGACGTTATCAGGAAGATCCAAAGGGAATGTTTCCGGGAGTTGTGCACTCCGAGAAAAAGCAAAAGCCTGTGAGAGTCAGGAGAGGCCAGAGGAAAACTTCAGTAACCACTCAGACCTTATAATACATGACAGAATCAACTTGGAAGAGACACGCTACACATGCCATGAGTACGGAAAAAGCTTCAATGGGAACTCTGCCCTTATCACACATCAGAGAATCTACATGGGCGAGAAACCTTATGGATGCTCTGAGTGTGGGAAACGCTTCATTGATACTTCAACCCTCATCTCACATCAGCGAATCCACACAGGAGAAGTGCCTCACACATGCTCTGAGTGCGGGAAACGCTTCAATCGGATCTCACACCTTATCAGACATCGTAGAATCCACACAGGAGAGATGCCCTACACATGCTCTGAGTGCGGGAAAAGCTTCAGTCGGCGCTCAGACCTTTTCAGACATCAGAGAATCCACACAGGAGAGAAGCCCTACACATGCTCTGAGTGCGGGAAAAGCTTCAATCAGAGCTTTGTCCTGAGCGTACACAGGAGAATCCACACAGGAGAGAGGCCCTACACATGCTCTGAGTGCAGTAAAAGCTTCAGTCAGAGCTCACACCTTTTCAGACATCAGAGAATCCACACAGGAGAGAGGCCGTACACATGCTCTGAGTGCGGGAAATGCTTCAGTCGGAGCTCACACCTCATCTCACATAGGAGAATCCACACAGGAGAGAGGCCCTACACATGCTACGAGTGTGGGAAAAGCTTCAGGCTGAGCTCAGACCTTATCATACATAGGAGAATCCACAGAGGTGAGAAACCGTATGGGTGCTCTGAGTGCGGGAAATGCTTCAGTCGGAGCTCACACCTCATCTCACATAGGAGAATCCACACAGGAGAGACGCCCTATACATGCTCTGAGTGCGGGAAAAGCTTCAGTCAGAGCTCTGTCCTGAGCGTACACAGGAGAATCCACACAGGAGAGACGCCCTACACATGCTCTGAGTGCGGGAAAAGCTTCAGTCAGCGTTCAAACCTTATCAAACATCAGAGAATCCACATGGGCAAGAACTGTAATAAATCCTTTGACTAGGGCTGGCCAAAGATTTTTTTTTTTTAAATCACATTTGCTAATTCCCACATAGTGATTTTTGCACCATATTCACCGTGGTCTTTCAGTTCCACCAGATGAGTTGCCTGCTTCTGCCTTTTGCAGCTCACCTTCTTTGGGGTCAGTCCTGTGATCTTTTCTATCAACTGCTTTCCTTTTGAGTTGTAGGAGTGTGTGTCCCTCCAGCTGGAATGTTCATCAGCTCCAGGTGGGAGAGAGAGGTTTGATCCCAACAAGCTGAAGCAAAAACTACCTGTGCCTGACATCCACTAGGACTGTACATGGCGTTGGCTGCTCAAGTTAGTGATCTTGGTGTAAAAAGACAATTCTAGCTGTAGCGCAGATGCAGCCCAGGTGCAGTGGTTGGCATTAGCTTTCCCCTTGACCTGACCTAAACAAACCCTGAACATCACGGTTATACTGTTTCCCCATTTCAAAGCAATTGTTAGTCTTCAGGTTCCCCCTTTGGGAACAAATTGTTTCATTCCCAGTTGCTCTGATGTTGCTTCAGGTTGTGCTGCAGAGCAGATACTTTTACTACTATTTTTATCACTCAATATTTTTAACTATAGCAAAGAGCAGGAACAGGGCAGGGATAGGGGAAAATGTTATTTCACCCTCTGTAACAACAGAAGAAGATAGGGTAAGTCAGAGAGATTTCCTTATTCCCCATCACCATCCCAATCCCCCCTGTTGTTCAATTGGTTAGGTCAATATTTTTTCTAAAGGGCTGGGAAGAGGATTCCCTAGTAAATGACTTGGAACTACGCAAAATGCCCATACATTGGGCTCCCAAAGCAGTTGTGGGACGGGCTCTGCAGGAAGTCGATCCTGAAGATATCACCTTCCTAATCAGGTGCATGTTGCCTATTATTTGGGAAAGGCAATCCCTATCTAGGTAAAGATGGGGAAAATGGAAGGGACATTTCTCTTCAGCTCACCCCTGGGAGATGCTGCAAATGTGTAGAAAATGAAATCCATGTTGAATGTGATATAGCTGCAGAAAGATACCTATTTTTAATAGGCACCTGACATTTGGTGTCTTACACGGATTCTAAGCAGCACCTGAATTTAATCCCCAATTTAAATCTGTGCCACCAGATTAAAGAAATAAAAGGGCATCTTTGGGGGCGTTATACCTCACTATCGCTACTGATATGTTGTGTGGTAGGTGAAGAATTCTACGCTAGAGAAGTGTAAAATTACTCCAAGTAAGGTCAAAGATTTGACCAGAACTCAGGTAGAAATTGCAGGTACTGGTGGTTGATTTTCACACCAGAGATGGAAGCTATGCTGACCTGTGGCCCAGGAAAACTATTTTTAGAACCCTGCTCCCTTGTTAAGTGGTACTGGTCACACTCCTAACGGATGCCATAATTAAATTGGGAATAACCATCCTTTACCATTTGGATCCAAAGTTTCATGAAGCACAGAGAGAAACAGCTGATTCCTTCAGAGCCATTCTATGCCTATGGGTCTGAATCTGGCTACCTTGTTGGACAAAAGCACTTCCATGCTGGGCAAATGATGGTAGCCAATGAGGGAATGTATCAGATTCCAAGTTCAGACTGCAGGATTCATGATTGCTAAGTCCAGAGTCTGTGGTTTGGTCTCTTGGATTTGCTATTAAGTCTAGTGCATTTGTATCACTTCTCCTGCTGCTGCTACTTTGAAGGATTAGAAAGTGTGAAAATAGAGCACAGGTGGTTTTTCTCATGATGCAGCCTTCCCACGTAGTGGGAGACCCCTTCCACCCATTCTTCTGGGAGAAGTCCCAGGGAGAAATGAATTCACAGAAATGGAAGGCTCCTAGGTTATTGTAGAATGTGACTTCACACAAAGCTCAGTGGGTGGAAATGGGAATTAAGAGAAAACTGCCCTATCGGTTTATATTTTGTAATCGTTGGATAAGTTGTTACCAGCAACAATGAAATTAAACATGAAGTTAATTAGTGTCACGGAAGAGGCTGATGATGTGATAACTTTCAGTGTTACAATATAATTCAGGTTTTCTAATTCTCTCCCTGCTGCCTCCTACAACATCGGAAATGGTGGCTAATCCTGAAATTAAAACATCACTCCAAAGGAATTAGAGTAGGGGAATATGTGAGAGAAATAGCATGTACGAGAATAGAGACCCAGTATAGACGGTAATTATTTCTATTTAAAATGGAATTTATTATGATAAATTTTAAAATAAATCTTCCCTTAAGAGGAAAATTACTTGAGACAGGATTTGTAACCATTCACCCAGTT